AAAAAAAAAAAAAAAAAAAAAAAAACTATTGTCATACTGACAAGTTGGACATGGAGCGGGTGCTGCAGCAGCACTGCGCCTGTGGTAGCCATGTGTATCAAAGCGCATCGGATGTATGTGTATGCATGATGCACCGCAAAACGTGAGATTTCCGATGCTCGCTCAACTCCATACTCTACTCCGATGCTGCCTCGCCGGAACTCCTGAGAAAGGGGCGACGAGAGCGAAGTGCTGGCGAAGAGAAAGATCCACAAGCAAGAGGAGAGAGCACGATGTTCCTGTTGAAAAAGTATAAGTCGTAAGAAGGCACTTCATGTTGAAGCCACCTCGACACTTGTAGATCTTTCGCGGAGGAGAGGACAAGTTGTTGCTCCACTCTGCTCCCTCGGGGTCTCGGACTCTGTGTGTACCCTCTTTGTGTGTTTGCGGGAGTTGCGGAGGGGCCAACTTGGCAGGTCGGAGAAGAAAACGTCGCTTGATTTTCCCCATCGGGGTGATCCACTTCTCCGGTCGATGGTATGCATACAAATGCACGTCCTTACATACGGATATATATCACATCAACATCATCTTCAGGCAGCAGTTTTGTGGAATAGGATCTCGCTGCGAGCTTGTGACGATCGTTACGATTGATTGGTATGCACAACAGCAAATTAGCCATGTGTAGTCGATGAAAAACAAACAAGAGTCCGTGTGTCCTCCTGTGGTGGTCTACGTGGTTGCGGGGGGGCGCCAACTGCAGGACCACACGTGCTTACTCCCAGGGTTCGTTGATTATCACTGTGTGTGTCACCGGCGAGGTGAATTATTTTCTAATTTCCGGCTTTTCGGACTCATGAACCAGTTCACCAGCTCTTTTTTCGAAGGGATGCCACACAGTACTCCAGCAGCAGCACAGTGTAGTTTAGCAGAAGGGACCTACTACTTTACCCGGGTACAGGAGAAAATCTATGTCCAACATCTTGTGATACATAGCCGCTTTTCGAGTTTCTCACTAAAGACATGGAGGAATCTCACAATCCCTCAGGAGAGTTTCATTAGTCTAACCTAAATCATCATCGTACACAGCAGTAGCACGGATGAATCTCTGAACGTCCATCTACGGGGTGAAAGGCCAACAAACGGTAGGGGGGTGATAGGTGGACCACAGGTAGGTGATAGGTGGACCACAGGTAGCGTGGGCAAATTGTTTTCTCCGCGGAAATTAGTACCGACACCCCATGCATTTCTCGTGTCGAATCGGTGTACGGAGTCGTCGTCACCGGGCATCATCTCGCAACGCATGTTGTATGCTTTCCACACCCTTTGAAGGTGTTGGCCTACGTGTCTTGACCCTGCCACTCTCTTCGTACAGCAGTAAGGTAGATGGCGCTACCTAGTGTTTACGTTCGGGTCTGTTGAGTGATGTTTTCTGCGTACAATTCCCATGTAGAGAGAAAATACCGAAATGAAACCTGTGAGGCGAGCCTGCTGTGTTCACCACGTCACAGCTGCATGCGTTTCACAATAAACAAACAACCACACGCCCCTCCATCCCCCAACGACACGCCCCCGTCACTATTCAGGAGCACAGCATCTACCGCCTTAACCCCCTCGTGACAGATGCCCCCCAACTCAACCTCCTCTTCTCCCGCAACAACAGAAAAAAAAAAAACTACCCTTTCCGTCTAGCTCGAGCAGCAACAACAAGTGCCACCGCCGTGCCGCCAACTATCAGGAGTGAAAGCGCCGCGAGCCTCCCGCCCCCCCCGTTCGGAGAGACATCATCAACCAATTTCCTTCTAGATGACGATGGCAAATGTTCGCCGGCGGTCCCCCGCAGCCCTTTCCTTCCAGTGCGGCTGAGGTTGCCGTTGGCTCTCTTGCTCTCGCCCGCAACTAGGTCCTCGATATCTCCGCCCGAGTTGCCGCCGCCGCCGCTGCTGCACCCGTCGCCCGACTTAGCCGCGGCGGTGACCACCTTCACCGCCAGCTGGCCGCACGCCCCGTCGATGTCTCTGCCGTGATGTCTGGCCCAGAGGAGGAGGCCCAATAAAAGGCGCAATCATTGCCACGTGGTAAGCGGGGCGGCGACAGCGGGTTCGCGTGCAGATGGAGGCAGTTTTTAGAGCGGAGTGTTTTGACGTGGGCCGACGATAAAAACAAAAACGGAGTCGGCGGTCTGGACTGACATTCTTGCCCTCCCTGAAAATGTCCCGTTCGATGAAAACAACATCGTTTGTTGCCCACACAACCCCGTGGGCCGATTCTCCGCACTCAAGTAGAGAGCGCTCGGTCGAGTCGGGACCGCCTTCGCGCGACTGAAAACTAATGAGCAAATAGAACAGAAAGGAGGCACGCAGACTCTATTCCCTAACCCTAACCCAACTTCTCCGATTGTATGCTTTGATCCAACACGTTTACACAACACGAAAAACCGTGCGATTGCTACTGGTCGATTCCGTGGGTCGACAACAAACCGCAAGGACGGCGCCCCTTTCGCGAAGCCGCGCAGTGCGGACGATACCGCCGGCCCCCTCAACAAAACCTTACCTTCGGATGGTCACCAGCAAGCCGTGCTCGTGCACGATCGCTCTGAACTTCTGCAGCGCCTCTTCCGTCGGCTCCTTGAACTCCTCCGACCCAGGGGCGTACGTTGGGTTGTACGGGATCAAATTCACCAGCACGTTGCGCCCCTGAAGTGTGAAAAAAATAAATAATTTAGTGTTGGGGGCAGCAATAGTTTGTTTGGGGAGCGAGCGCGGACACTCGCTGTCAAAAAGCGGTGACTTTTGAGAGCCAGTGCTGTCACACCTTAAGGGTAAAAAGCCGTAGAGGTAGAGAGCAAGGAGTTGAAAATTCTTGCTCAAGGCGGTTCGTGCACAGCTCGGAAACGGCCTGGGTTATTTGGGTCGATAGTTCCACGCGGGGATAGGCATTCCCGTGCTCTGGGATAGCGACAGTTGGGGAGACGCGCATGGAGAAAAGGATGACGCTGACTCCGACTTCCGCAGCCCGCCTGTCAAAGGCACGGACGGATCAATTTAGACTTCAAAGAACACATCGAGGGGCCGAAGAACGAACCAAATCGTCTCCTCGTCGAGAAGGTTAGCACGGAGGTTCAAACACGAATGAGAACAAAAACGGCGGTTTCTCGCACAAAGCAGGCACAGGAAAAAGCTTATTCAACTACTTGTACACAGCAGTAGAGCGACAAACGACGACGACATGAGAGAGGAAAGGAGGCAGGTCGACCGTTCGCCCACAAAAGTCACACAAGCTCTCCATCTGACCTTCAACAGCTCCCCCAGCTCCCTTCCGCACTCTTCCGTGTCGTTAACCCCCGCCAGCATCACGTACTCGATCAGCGCCCTTCGCCCGGCCCCTCTCCCCCCGACCATGACGACGCCCGCGATAGTCTCCACGCTACCCGCCTCGTCCGAACCGGCCGCCGCAGACCCTCCGTCCGCCGCCATCCCTTCCCCACACACGCTCTTGTCTTCGCTCTGCCCCCCGCTGGTCTCAACCGGCACCGATTGCGCCGCTGCCTCTCCCGCCGCCTTGCTAGTGGTGGTCGTCGTCGGTGGCGGCGGGGCAACACCGGGACCCCTAAGGTGGCCGTCCAAGGCGTCCATGAGCTTGTCGAGGCGGTAGGCCCTCGCGGAAGGGACGATTCTGTTGCGCAGCTCCTGCAGGCGGTGATGTTGGTGGGGTGCTTAGTATCGGATGGGGATGGTAGCACGTGGGGAGTAGAGCAAGAAGGAGGGGTGGTGGGGGTGAACGCATGCC